GCAGTGGAGGTTTGAAACTGGAGTTTTCCTTCTCACAGATGGGCTGCCTTCCATAGCTGACGAGCCCCACCTATCTGGCACCAAACACCTGTTTGGGTGGCAAATGAACTGGCAGAAACTGCTGAACCAGAGGTCCATGCCCATCTCTAACAGTGATCTAATTTTCAAACTAGTAGTGGCACCCAGTGTGGTGCAGTGGACAGAGTGACAAACTAGGTCCCCAGAGACCAGGATTTGAATCCCCATTTGGTCCCGGAAACTCACTGTAGGGGTGGAATCAGTAAAACCACTCCTTAAATAGCTCACTTCCCTTGAAATGCCAGGTGAGATGTGTGATGGCACATAACTAATTAATTATATCTATGAAGATTCTCAGTCATCCAGGTGTTGTTATCTGGAAGTTGAGTTACGGCAACTGGACTTCTTCAGTCTGAAGAAGCTACTTGGATCAGTAGTGAAACGTTTCATCCTAACAAGAAAGCAGTCCAGTTGCCATGACTCAACTTCCAGATAACTAATTAATTTGGCCTTTAGACACTAACCACGCTTATTTCTTATGGGGTATGAATCAAGGTCTTTTAGATTTAGAGGCATAAGGTTTTACACCATAAACAGCAAATTTATTTTATATCAGGGAAATCAACGAAGAAGCCACATAAGCCCATTAAGCTGTTTCCCCTCCACCCTGGCCCTCATATAAGTCAGGCATCAACTTCCCGTCCAGCTGGTGTTCCCAACATGTTGCCTGGGTGTTCCTTCGCCTACTTTTATCTACTTTTCATGTGACATTTGCTTACCTCTACTTCTCCCAGTTCTACTACCAGAGCTTAGCTTCTTGTTTATTTATTGCCAGTTCTGAACAGTGTGCTAAGCACTGATATTGCTCCTTCCCTACAGGGCTTGGATGCTGTATTAGATGGACAGAGGAGAGACGAAGACAGAAGTCATGGACTGACAGTTAGTAACGGAGATTGAGGGAAATTAACTGGCAATAAAGGCGCAGATAAAGTGAAGCCAGTGGAATTAAAGGGGAAAAAACCCAAATCTCAAATAATCAGAACCTTCCCCAACCAGCTGTCCTAAAAAAGTGTTAACATGCCAGCTCCCAAAAGTCCTCAAGCAAAACCTGTCCTTATGTCCAAGATCCTCCCACAGCGCCTACTCACAACTAAATCCCATTCAGCAAAGTTTCAAAAATACTAATTGAAAGTTATAGATCATTCCCCATAAGAAATATCATTTATGTTCTCTTTATGTCAAAAACCTGCTTATGTAAGACATTTTTTCTACAATGGTCCACCAAAGTCAAATACTTTTTTTTTTTGTTTGAATAATGCTTTCTTTTGTCACATCAAAAGACTAAGGTACATAGACTAAGGGCAGGACTATACAATGGCTGAAATCTTTTCTGGCAGTAATGCAAATGGTGTAACTTTAGGAAGCAAATTGTGGCAAGGTAAGAAATTGCTGTAGATAGCTGTTGCATACTGAGCCACACAACTTGGCCTGAAACAGATAATGCCTAGGAGATTGTTTAACTAATGTCAATTTGCATCCAAAAGCCACATTGTGTCACTGCAACAGGATTTCAGCCACTGTGTTAAACACAGTTTGAAACGAACCACTTACTTAAGGCAGCCACTTTTACTTTGAATTAGGTTGGGCCTCATGTGGGTTTCCTACTAAAAACTCTTGCCATGTAGAGCTTTTAGATAAGATGACTGTTATTCAGGCAGCTACAGTGGGGTCTTGACTTGAGAACTTAATCTGTATTGGAAGGCGGTTCTCAAGTCAAAAAGTTCTCAGGTCAAATCTGCATTTCCCATAGGAATGCTTAAGGCAGCCACTTTTACTTTGAATTAGGTTGGGCCTCATGTGGGTTTCCTACTAAAAACTCTTGCCATGTAGAGCTTTTAGATAAGATGACTGTTATTCAGGCAGCTACTTAGTACTGAAAGTGACAAATAACAATGGAAAGGGAAGGTCTGTGGGTGGGGAAACAGAATGGGCATGTGATAGGGATTGGTATTATATACAGTATGGCTGCCTTTTGCTCTGTTTCAAAGTGCCAGCTGAACATGAAGCAAGAGTAGGTAGTAATAGATGTTACCTTGTTCAAGAACACATCTTGTGTGTATTATTAGCAGAACTTGAAAGTGCCACTTTGTTTGGATTACACACACACACCCATGCCACACGGCCACGGTAGCTGAGAATTCTGGGAGTTGAAGCCCAAAAAGTAACCTTGTGAGCTCTTCTTATGAGTCAGAAGGTCAGGTCTAATTCACCTTTTTGTTGTATGTATTTAACTGAATGTTCATGATGTTTACATTGACTCACAGATGGTGAGGGACACTTGCACTTAACCCTTAAGAACATAAGAACATAAGAAGAGCCCTGCTGGATCAGGCCATAAGGGCCCATCGAGTCCAGCTTCCTGTCTCTCACAGTGGCCCCACCAGAGGCCTCCGGGAGCACACGAGACAACTAGATACTGTACCTGTCTCCTGATACTCCTCCCCTGCATCTGGCATTTTGAGGTACCTTCCTTCTAAGCCTGGAGATTATACATTCCCATCATGGCCTGTAACCTGCAATGGACTTTTCCTCCAGAAATCTGTCCAATCCCCTTTCAAAGGCATCTAGGCCATATGCCGTCACCACATCCTGTGGCAAAGAGTTCCACAGACTAACAACACGCTAGTTAAAGAAAGATTTTCTTTTGTCTGTTCTCACTCTCCCAGCACTCAATTGGAGCGAATGTCCCCTGGTTCTGGTACTGTGTGAGAGGGAAAAGAGCTTCCCTCTATCCACTTTATCCACCCCCTGCATCATTTTATACATCTCAGTCATGTCCTCCCTCAGATACCTTTTCTCTAGACTAAAGAGCTCCAAATGCTATACCCTTTCCTCATAAGGGAGGAGCCCCAGCCCAGTCATCATTTTAGTCGCTCTCTTCTGCACCTTTTCCAGTTCCAATATGTCTTTTTTTTAGGTGTGGTGACCAGAACTGGATGCAGTACGCCAGGTGCAGCCTTACCGGTGTTTTGTTCACCCTTAGCACTTTTATTTTGGAATGGTTACATCTACACACAAACACATAGGTCAGCTTTTGGGGACGGACCTGCAGCATAGCTTCCACAATCTTCTGTCTACCAAAGGATAGCTGAGCGTCAGGCGCTGGGACTGTAGCCTTGCAGCTTGTATTGCTGACCTAAGCAAACACGGGATGCTGCGTGTGCAGAGAAGCACGAATCAACAGGGCACTAGTAACTCCTACAATCAACAAATACGAGCACAAAGAGAATGACTTTCTGCAAGACCTCTCCCCAACTAAGTGCACTGCAATTAAAAGATGATGTGGATGATGATCATTTGGAAGTGAGAATCAGGATTTGAATACTAACTGATCGGAAAGAAACATTACTGAATGAACCATGGAGAAACAGATATCAGAGAAGCTTTTTACTTAACAGTAAATCTGTCAAAGAGCCTTTGTTGCTGACAGGAAAAGGTGAGTCTTTCTTTGTCTTGTTTTTCTGTTTGATTCCACTTGCAAGGCCCCCATCCTCCTTTGGCAGTGCAAATGTACAAGCTTCTGGAACCCTGCATGTTACACTGAAGCCTACATGCCATTGAAATACAGTGGGAAATGCTCATGAGGGGTTGTTAGCCAGCTATCTAGCATTGCCCAGACAAGAAGACTGAGCAGCTGCTATAATCCTTTGGATGGTGTTCCCTCTGCTCCTGGCAGTCATTTTGGTACAGACTACATTTTACCCCTGTTAATAGCAGGAACTCTGTGTACTGGTAAGATAGGCATGGAATGGGATTATTCCATTAGCTCTTCCACTTAACTCTGTTGTGAATTCTTGCCAGCTACATTTCAATAATAAACCTCATCTTCCTTTTTTTCAGAAGAAGACCCTTTATGTCCCACTATACAACAAATCTCTGCTTATGTGTGTAGGGTCATGTTGTGATAGGAATCCATGAATTTGTTGAAGAACACATAAAGTGCTGGATCAGTACAAGTAAGTCTGTTATTATATCAGTGGTATAACTTGAAAAATTGTTTCTAAACAATGTACATTAGAACCAGGGCTCATATTGTTGAAGCTCTGGGACTTTCTGAGCAGAAGGGACTATTCTGGGAAAGAAATCTGTTTTCAAAGGAATCATATATTAGCTGAAATCTAGCAGTAAATTGCCATTGAATCAATGGGGGTGTGGTGAGTCAACTCCTCTGTAAATTCCATTGATTCACAGGGTCTATTCTAGTAAAGACTTACGGCTGAATTTCAGTCTGGAATAATTGTTTTAAATTATTCCTGCAGGAATGCAAAATATTTAAGTTGGTCTTGAATGGGAAGTTTGGATCCATTAACTTTATAAAACGGCAACCCAAAATTGTTAACAGGCACTGATTCCATGGACTGCCTGTCTGGGCTCTTCTTGTTGGGTGGAGTGAATGTGGAGATGGACACAATGAGCATCTGCACTTCCAAATTTAGACTACACCACCATATACAGTGGATAAATCAATTGGTCAACCTGTGAATGAATGAACAAATGAACAAAAAAATGCTGAATAAAATATGCAAATGTTTAATTCATTATTAAACAAAAATAAATCTCATAACTCTGAGGGGTCTCCAAGCTGCTCTGAGAATCTGTTGAAGGTATAAATCAAATATGTACTTACATATACAGTGACTTTGACCCTATACAGACTACAGATATGAAATGGTTTTGCAACTGAATTGACCTGCCATGGTTTCCTTCAAGAAATCCTTAAAACTCATAGCTGGTCCCATTAGAAAACTATAACTCCCAGAGTTCCCTGGGAAGAAAAGCTAACCATTCAATTAGTTTAAATCTGTAATGTGGATATATCTTTGGACTATGAGAAGCTTGAGAGAGAGAAATTCCCCTCTATCATTATTCAATTCAAATGCTTATGCAGCAAATGCATTTTCCTCTTTCATTAGCAGTTCGTCTTTGCAAAATGAATCTAAGTGATCTCCTCTACCCTGGGAACTCACGTAGACGTCAAGATGTGATCAAACTGCACCAGGAACTGCTTGATGGAATGCGACTTGATTTTGAGGCTACCAATGACCTGATTGGAACACTGAACGAACATTTGGGAGCCAAGATGATGGCCATTAAAATGAAGGAATGTGGTACCGTTAAAGAAAACTGTGACATTATCATCCAAGCCATGAATATTATTCAGCAAGAGATACAGAAGTTTGATAAAGAAATAAAGGAAAGTTTAGAACCAGGGATGTACCAAAAGCTTTATGATATCAAACAGCCTGAGCTAGAGAAAATTGCAGTTGTTCAGAGGATTGTCTCCATTATACTTGGGGAGGCTACAGCATCTGCAGGTGCAATTATCATGAAATTAATCTGTTCAAACGTTGTAATCATTGCTGTTAACAAGCTAGTGGCTCTGCTTGCTCAGATTGGGGTATCTGTTCTTGGGGGCATTGCCCTTAGTGTTCTTGGTCTGGGTATTGACATCATTCTTCATGCCATCCTTGGGGCGGTGGAAAAGGAGCATCTTCTAGCATCCATTCAAAGTTATGAGCAGCATTTAGCTGAATTCAGAGACGCCTCTGAGACCTATCGGTGTGCCATTGCTGAAGTAAATGCATTGGTGAAGGACAAAACTAAATTAACGGAATTCGGAAATGTTCCTACCCATCAGTGACATAAATTTCCTTTCCTTTTTTTAGTATGACTATTTCATTTCTGAACTTCAAGATAGAGAACTTAGAGGCAAACAAAGTGTAAGAAGACACTTGGAGTGAACAATAAGAAACCATCCATTCTGGGTTTCTACAGACTTGTTAAACAAGCTAATACCTTTACTCTAGCTTAGTTCCTGCACAAGCAAGATCAAGACACACAAAGAAGAACCATTCTGAACTTCCACAGATTATTTGAACCAGACTAAAAGATATAAGAAGGAGCATCTTTTTAAAAAGTAATTCTTTACAAAGTTTATAAATAATTATTTGACATACATCCAGAGCTTCACGTAGAAATAGAACCAGGGAGGATGAGGTAGACATAAAAAAAGAGAAAACAAAAATGACAAGACATTTGTGTAATGACAACAGAAGCTCCCCATACAGGGACTATGTCAGGGATAGTATCCAGAGGCCATCTCCTCACAGACAGAGCCAACGAACAAACAACAGAAACCAGCTGAGTGCTAACACCATATGTATTAGTCTCAGAAAACCAGCAAGGTTTCTCCTACTAAAGCTACGCCCCCGACCCCCTCTGCTATTCCTTAAAGAGGGCTTCAAATCCTCTTATGCTGCTTGTACAAACACTTTGGAATACAACAAAGAAGACAAAAAGGGAATCTATATTATGTTATTATAACCAGTTAGCCATACAGCCTGTTGAAAGCTCGTGTGGCCTATAGGGACAGAAAGGAAAACAAACATTCTGTTAACAGACTATTATAGGGGTGGCAACAAGAAGACCACAATTACAGTAACCTCCAGCAGATTAGAATTTGAGCCCAGCGTGGGAGAAGGGGGAAAAATCTCCCACTTACCTTTGTTGATGTTGTTGTTTAGTCGTTAAGTCGTGTCCGACTCTTCGTGACCCCACTTACCTACTGTGTAGCAAAACAACGTCAACCACCAGGCACATGGAAGGGCAAAGGAGAGGAGCTCTCATTTGAACCACCAAGGCAGGCTCCACAAAGCTTCCTAACATGGGCACAAAAGCAAACAAGAAACAGATACGTTATGGGGCATTTGTCTGTTGTCATGTGCCATAAAGTTGCTTCCAATGTATTTTAACCCTACAAATTAGTGCCCTCCAAAAAGTCCTATCATGAATGGGTCTTGCAAACTAACAGAAGGGTTTAGCCATATTTTGCATGCAGAAGATCCCAGAGGATGAGATAAATATATTTTTTTTCCTGTAATGGCCACCTCTTCATTCCTTTAGCTGTTCTGAAGATGAAACACCTATCTTCAATGGTGAAACAGCTTTTTGTGCTGCTGCTTTCAGTTGGGCACCAGTATATTTTTTCATGAGGCTGGTTCTGTGGGCAGAGCAGGGCCTCTAATAACTTCATAAACCCTCAGCTAGCAAAACTAGGATATAATATTGTGCTCTTATTAAACAAGCTAAATGTCCTTTCTAGCTAACAATAATAATCATGTGCTGTCAAGTCAAATCTTCAACCTTTTAAGGGTTTTTCTAGGTACAGAACACTCAGAAGTGGTTTCCTTTCTTCTGGGGTCAACGTGTGACTGTGCCGCTTGCCCAAGGCCATATAGGCTGATTCTACTCATAGGAGGCACAGTGGGGAATCGAACTCCAAACCTCTAGTTCCACAGCCGGATAGCTAAACTACGGAGCTATCCGGACAGCTTCTTTGTCTCTAAAGACACACTAAACTTTAACTATAATGTTAGCTCTCTTTCATGGAATAAATATGTTTTGTTTGCTTGCTGTGAGTGTTGTGCAGAATCATTTGTGTGCAAAAGTGACAATGCATATTAACACTTTCAAATTCCATATATTTATGCCAGAATATTTACACTGCATTAAATCCTATTGAAATTAGTTGCAGAGGCGTTAACTATAAAATGTATGGATGCACACAAAGTACGCAGAAGAATTACCATACAAGATGAATGGGAGGCCAGTGCTTCCCTTCTGTTGTTGCTGTTGACAAGTACCTCAGCAGACTTGCCCTGAAAATGTGTGAGTAGTGCCACTAAATAATCTAAAACTAATAAATAGTATGTCACTAAACTAAGGATAAAACTTACATTGAATTAAAAGCATCTCACAGCTGTTTATTAGAGACTACTTTGTGAAAAGTTTTTTTAAAGAGCTTTTGGAAAATATCCAGCCTCTGACTTTGGTAAGTCTTCAGGCAACGGGAAATATATTGCTAGGGGAAGCTGACAAGAGTGGGAAAACTGAAGTCATTTCACACATTTTTATCATCAGCATACTGTTATAGTGGGTTGGAGTCTTGGGAGCTCAAATCTCCACTGTGCCTCCTGAGAGGAGGCCCAGCAAAGAACACCCAGACTGCATCGGGCTGATGGTTCCAGAACAATACCAGAAGGCGGGAAAGGTAAATTACTTATCAGTACTTCATAAATGGTGAAATTATTTATTTACTTATTCAATATATTTCTACCCTGCCTTTCTCCTTAAAAAGGACCCAAGGCGGCTTACAATAATGAAAGGCGATATTTGAAAGTTGAAAGCTGAAAACAGTAAGTATACAAGGGTGATTAACATAATTAAAAGAGAATATTTAAAACTATGAACAATGAATAAGGGGTTATCTTACATCTTTAAGACATAATATTAAGGCAAAGATAAATAAAGCACAGAAATTTTTAAAAAGTCACTCTGAGAAATGGAAAACACAAAAATGGAAAACGCAAGTACAGTAGTACTAAAAATCCTACAAGGGTTGCCACACGTAAAAAAAACAAACAAACTTAAAGGTACACCACCATTAATTTCCAGATTAAAACAAATCCTAAATCTAGTACAGAGCTCAAGTCTGGAAGAAGAAAGGCACACAAAGACCTTACAGAATTAATACGTATTAGAAATCAATACATACATGTTATTTAATCCTATTAAAATGTGAATGAGAAGATGTCAGTGTATTAACACTGAAAGCTTATTCACGTTGACCATCAGAGTTACACATTGTAAAACAAAACTGTTTAAAAGCGAAGATCTTGGAACAGAATTTATATAATACTAAATTCGAGCCTTTTGCATCTATTATGATGAATTATGTGTCCCAGATTCTTTCTTGCTAATATGCTGTAATTTACTTAATTTTAGTTCAGGGAATAAAAACATACTTTAATAAACAACAAACAACTCTCTTACTTTGTGTTTTCTTAATTATTCCATCTGCACATGTTCCATTCCGAATCAGCCTGGGATCAAATAACAGAATAGTGTTACTTTCTCAAAATTGTTCCTAGATTTACTTATGATCCCAGAAACATAAATAAGGCCACATGCCAAGGGCTGCTTTGTTATTCCAGGAATAGTCAGACTCCATTCTATTAGTTCTCAATTATAGCTTTAGTTCACATGCTCTAGGATCTAGAAGAATTGTGTACATGGGTGAAAGCTTTCTCATGTACATGGGGGCATCCACACACATTCTTGTACACAGAAAGAGTTTATACATTTAACTAACATTCTAGAGAGGGAAAATGGTCCTGATCATATTAAGAGCTATACACCCTTTCAAACTGTGAAAGAAACATCAGCACCAGGACTGGGCATAAGTCCCCTGATTCAATTCCGCCGTCAGTTTGGGCTTGTGAACAGATTCTGATTGGCGTCATTTTTGCTCCGTCCAGCTTCGCTTGTGCCCCTGATTCAATTTGATGTGTAAGCTTCCCGGTGACTTACATTGGAACCAAAATGGCTGTAACTTTTTCAGTTTCACACTGAAATGCATGAAATTTGAATACATGATTGATCATGAAAAGGGGGAGTAAGCCTGCCAAATTTAAGACAGACAGCTTGAGGGTTTGCAGCTTTGAAATTTGCTTTTAAAAAAGAGAAGAACAAATAGGCTGAAGTGATTTACGCTCCATCCTATTTGATTTATGCTCTGGACACAAAACAGATTGTAAATTCACTTTACGTTGGAGCCAGATTTAGTCATAATACCCAATCCATATCTTGTACAAATCAATTAGTCCAAAGTACTGTAAGCCAACTGATTAACTCAGGATTTGTCCATATCTGATGCATAACCCTAATGAGAACTAACTGCTCCTCCCCCCCCTCTTGGTCTTTTCTATACTTTCTATACTTCTTTCTCAGCCTTCCTTGGCGTCTTTCTACCCATTTTGTCTTGTGACCACTGACGAGTGTATTTCAGTGGGTGTGAAGGAGACATGTATGTATCAGCACACTGAGCTATGTGTGCATTCATAAGACGCTCATTGGTCTAAAACACTTCTGCATAGGATTAAAGGTCAATGAAATACAAGTTCCTAATAAGAATACAAGTAAAATAGAAACACAGAAATCCCCAAGCAAACTTGCCATTCAACTTATTACGGTTCCTCAGAAAGAGAAGATGAAACGGAAGGAAAAGTCTAGTGGAGGAGAACTGGGCAGGAGACAGCTCATCTTGGTGTAATGTTATTAGTGGCTTTCACAGATGGTGACCTCATAGAGGCCTGTGAGGTGGGTTAGCTTGTCCTGCATGATACAAAAAAAGACAATGATCTCATAGGTATGATCAGGGGAGCTAGACAAGATAACATACACAATTAAAAGGAAGCCAATTGAGTTATGTGCAACTTTGGTCTGTTTTTTAGGCTGTATAAATGCAATGCTCATAACTCTTTTTCTTTGCCCAGTTTTTATTGCTGTCAGATTGCACTATTTCAACACAAGACATAGAAAGACCATTTTTTTAGGAGATTAAAATCATTAGTTATTAAAATGTATTAGTTTTTTGTATCTGTCTATTGAAGCTGCTAAAGAGAAAGCTAATTATTCTCAATGGCCAAAATTTCATTGTTTAGCACAGTAAGTTGCACTAGAGTAGAAACATAGAATCCTAGAATAATGGAGTTTGAAGGCACCTACAACGCCTTTGAGCTCAATGCAGGAATCCAAGTTTAAGTAGATCTGACAGACGGTTATCTAACTTCCTCTTGAATGTCTCCAGCATTGTCACACTCCTCTAACAGGAAGTTTTTCTTGATATTCGGTCACAATCTGACCTCCTATAACTTGAGCTAATTATTGTGTGTCCTGCACTTTGAAATGACTGAGAACAAATCCTGTCGTTCCTCTGTATGACAACCTTTCAAATATTTCAAGTGTTCTATCATATTTTCCCTCAGTCTTTTCTTCTCAAGGCTAAACATGTCCAGTTCTTTCAGTCTTTTCTCAGAGGGCTTGGTTTCTAGTCCCCTGATTGTCTTTACTGCCCTCCTCTGCATGTATTTGTTTCTCTGTATGCTTCTTAAAGTGCTGTGTACAGAGTACCTCCACTGAATAAGTGGGGATTTGGTGAGTCAACTGCCCTCCTCTGAATGTATTTGTTTCTCTGTATCCATCTTAAAGTGCTGTGTCCAGAGTAGCCCCACTGAATAAGTGGGGATTTGGTGAGTCACCCCCTTTGTAAATTGCATTGATTCAAACGAGTCTACTTTAGTTGCACTTTAGCATAGTAACTCACAACCCATTGATTCAAGTGCTAGTTGCACTTTAGCATAGTAACTCACAACTAGAGTAGGCCCATTTGAGTCAGTGTAACTTAGGGAGGAGTTGACTCATCAAATCCCAAATGATTGAATTGGCCTACTCTAGTGCTACTATGCTAATATCTCTTTTAATGAAAAAGACATATATTTCTCATGAGTACAGAGTTCATGTTAATGATTTTTACTTAATTGGTATCACACTTCTTAGCATTCATAGAGCCACTCTGGTATAATGGATAAAGTGACAGACTAGGACTTAGGAGACTAGGGGTTCAAATCCCTGCTCAGCCAAAGAAACTCTACCACTAGGTAATATAACTTTGGTTTAATCTGACCCAAATTGGCTAAACCTAGTGAGTTTACCACATTATCACCCCAATTCTCAGAGGGAGGACTCAGCTTTTCTGTGTCCCTCCCCCCACATATACTCAGCCAAGCAGAAACATATCTGTTTCAAACAAAGGCCAAATTGAGAGGTGTGTGTATCCACACGGCCTGTCCTTATTTGTTTGGAGAACTGGGTTGTTATACTTGATCTACAGCTAAACTGTAACCATAAAACAGCAACCAGACTTCTGACTTACATGTAAGACAGCCATGCCTGGCAAAATTTATCTTGCCAAGAACTTTTGGATTTTACATTTAAGAGCAACTTTCCTGGCAAAATCCATCTTGCCATGAATATTTGGACTTTAACTCCTTCACACTGGTACAAACCCAATGAAGTGTTTTAATCCACAAAAACTTGTGTATTGTATCATGGTTTTTTAGTGGTCTGTAAATGTATCACCTATTTTTGCATTTGGATGTTATTTTGTTTGGACCACATGGCTACCCTTTATTTCTACTGGGGTATATGTGTGGTAATGGTAAAAACTATTTCTTGAGTATCTCCCATACCATGAACCCCTTATTAGAGTTGCAATAAATTGGATGCAACTTGGTAGCGCCTAGCATAGCATAGCCTAGCCTAATTTAACTTTACTGAGGCTTTTCAGGAACCCTGCACGGACTGGACTGCCTGTGTGTTTTGGGGGTGGGGGGAGTACAGATTCCCGCCCCAAATGACCCTTCCCCTGCCCAAGCACTGGTGCCATTAGCAGGGTGGGGAGGCAATGGAATTCCCTTCTCTTTCTCGCAGGAACCCGGGTTGTATCAGTGGGTCAATGGTGGAATTTAGCAGGCCAACAAATGGTTCTGCAGAACTGCTAGTAAATTAGCTACCGGTTCTATAGATCCGGTGCGAACCTGCTGAATCCCACCACCGGGCAGAAGGGATAAATTAATTTCTCCTGTGGCTTCCTTCACCAAGACATTTGTATGACTTGCTGTCTCCAGTAGTTTTTAGGTGGGCTGTTAAGATTTCCAAAAAATGTCAACCTTCTTTTGGTCAGAGATGTGATACTGGATAGAAGTTGCCATCCAAAGTAAACTTATTTGGTAATTAGAGACCAGCAGCACCTTGAACCGTTCCTGAAAAGTTTGGAATAAAGCTAATTCAAAGCAAATTCAGAGCCACCAGCCTCTACTGAATTAAAAAAGCAGCCGCATCCCCCATCTTTCTTTTTTAGTCCTGGATGCATATTTCACTCTCTCAGCTGCTCCTCTCTTATTTTTATATCTTCAGAAGAAAGGGTGCCCCCCCATGGTTGAACTGACTGCTTTCTTCACAGAAGAAGTTCATTGACTCCCATCAGCAGTTAAACAGGAACATATATTATCTGATATCACTGCAGCTTAACAGAAGTTTGAGAGATGTATATATATTTAGCAGGCAGCCACTGAGCAAACACACACTTTACACAAAAGCACCTCACTACAATTACTGATTAATAAGAAGTCTACTTCACAAAGGTCAAGAGTAAAAATTTCAGTTAATTGTAGTGAATTTGAAGTATTTGATTTACAAAACTTTTTCTGATGGATGCTGTTATGTCTAGTACAGCATTTAGGTATAGTTAATATATGAATCAGACTTTATCTCATGTTTTTAAGGGTTCTATTACTTTTAGTTGAGTGCTTCAGCAATGTTTACATCCAGAGCTTATTTTACATCCAGTTTTATCACTTTCTAACTGCAGTGCTGCTCATCATCTCTGTTTGTGCCCTGAATTCTATTAACTAAAAGGGAACATTTTTATTTACCATTCGTAAGATTAAATCCTGCTTTTTTTGTTATGTATTGTAGAAGGAAGGTAAAAAGCATAGCAATGCACTCACTTCCAGCTGGCAATTAATGAGTCCCCACTAGGATTCTCAAGTGCTCACCAAGCTGGTGTATGCATGTATCATCAAAAATTGTAGCTGTGGCTCATTAATTGCCAACTAGAATTAAGTGAATGTTATGTCTTTTGTTTCTACCTGCAGTATAAAGCAACAAGATTTCATCTACAACTGTGTAAATTTCTACCAAGATGCTGCTAGATGGCACATTCCATCAGTCCCAGCTAAACAGTGACGGACCAGAGATAATGGGAGTCTACATCTGGAAGGCCATAGATTATCCAATCTTGAGTCTGCTCTGTCTCTTCTTATAATTTATTTGCTTGATTAGTGTATATCTTCTGTCTCTTGTAGCTACAGTGGTTGAACTCTTGACTTGCTGCTTAATCACATTTCTTTGTAAACCCATCAAAGGTTGCTTTTCCTGTAATTGCTATATTTATAAATTTAATATAAAATGTAAAAGTTATAAATATAAATGCACCCTTCATCTAAGCATGCTTAAATATATTTTTAAGTCTATTTTAATCCATGTTCGTGTTATAGATTTATTCAGAATATTTTGTTGTCCTTGATCTATGATTTCATTGATCTGTTTCACTGCTGAATTGTGTCATTTAAAAAAAAATTCTGTGGGAGTCTGCACTTTGTAAACTCTCCTAGCAGCAAGGCAGGCAAGCTATAAAGTACCTCAGTGTCTCAGTGTAGAAAGAAAAGGTGAAATAAAGTGTTATTCAGTGTCAATGTATTCGCAAAGGATGTATTACTCAGGTCTTTTAAAATGTAGCAATTTATTTAAATGGCTCACAAATGGACACCACTGCTCACCCATTCCTCATATTTTTGGGGGGAGGGCGTAATTTACGCTTGAGGAAAAGATGCCTATCCCCTCTGTATTGGTAGTACTCTGTTTATCTTTTTGCAAATTCTAAACAGGGAATTGTGTTTGCTTTGGATTTCCTACACCAAACCTTGCACAGATGGCAATGAGTCTCATCATTACATTCTACTCTCAAACCCACAGCTCCATTCAGTTGCATGCAGAAGTCTCGTATTATATTTATAATTATTGATTTAACTAAAATATTTATATGCTGCCTTTCTCCTAAATGATACAAGACGATTACAGTATTAAAACAAAGTTCAAAGCCAAATAATAAATTATACCAATATTTTAAAAAGCATGAAACAAATAGCATATTAAAACTCTTTAATACGAGCAAGGTTAAAAATACAGTACAAGTAAAAACAGACTAAAACGATCCCTTTAAAGTATCCCCTTGGTCGTCCTTTTATGCAGATACGTATGTGCTGAAATTAGGATTGAAATCCCCATTCCACTATGCTGCTCTCAGGAAAGTAATAAAAAATGTATTTGTTCCACGACATAAGATCGTGGGACAGCCATAATGCTGAAAGAGAATTAACTCATTTCTCCATTTGGTTTTATTTGAGATATCATGCGGGCAACGCACCATCATAGCACCGCTTCTGTTGCTGTTACGTGCCGTCAACTCACTTTACGACAAGAATTAGTACGAATTTTAATGAGAATTCAGGACACAGACCTTATAGTGACTTTTATTTATTTATTTAATTTATTTATTTAACTTATATGCCGCCCACACTACCCGAAGGACTTTATCAATTAGTGGTCTCCAAAAGATCCTATGAATGATTAACACTCCTGATCAAGGATTTGTAACCTTGTGACTTGCAAAAGATGAGCCAAACCGTTCACTACAGCACCTCAACGTTTGAAAGATTCATAACTGGTCTTAAAATCCTGAATTTCTCTGTTTCACTTGGTTACGCGCTACACCTCCCGCCGGCGGCGGCGCAACCGGCATATTCGAGAATCTAACAGGGTTATTCAAACGAAGTCTATTGAGCCAAAGGGCGGCTCTTTTACCGGAAGTTCAGGCTGTGCGCCGCTCTAGGCTTCCCTTTGCGTGGTCGCGCGGCTTTTCAAGATGGCGGCGAAGGCGAGCTTTTTCGGAAGCGGGTTCTGCCGGGCCTTTTGCTCTTTCTGGGAAGAGTGAGGGCGCCCGGGGTCTTTCCCTCCCGCACCGCCGACTGGGGCGCCTCTCGTGAGGCTTTTGCCACGACATTTATCCGGGTCACCGTCCTCGCAGAACGCGCCCGGCCTTGGGATCAGGTAACGAAAGGGCAAGGTGGGAAGCCTTCTGTGACGGAAAGTAGACGCTTGTAGGGCTATGGAAGAGGCCTTCAAAACGTTGGTTACCTTTGTGCCCCTCCTCTCCTTTAATATGTTCAAGGTGGCATAGATGGCTGCCTTCGTTGAATCCTGTATGGCTGATAAAAGTAAATCGCATCACTCTGGTGCCGCTCTTTTATCTTTCTAAACTGCCACCATTTCCCTTCAGAAATATAAAAATATTGTACATTTATTTATTTATTTTATTTATTTATTGCATTTATATGCCGCCCATCTAGACATGGTCTACTCTGGGTGGCTCACAACATACAAAGAGCAAACAATTTAAAATATACACATTTTACATAGATAAAAAAAGGAAAAAATATATAATCAAAGAACTTACAATTGTCTGATTGCACCCCAAGTCTTCTGATTTCTTGGCTGCAGTCTCCATTTGGACTAATGACCGAATCAAGGTGCAAAAAAATCCTTTAACAATCTCAGTATCTTTACTGCCAATGTTAAAGCTATGTCATTCTACTTGCCATATAGCCTGTAACTAATAATGGAGATCAGATCAGGCAGAGAGGAAATGAAGCACAGGCTTTGATAGTGTCGATATCTAGAAACAACAGAACTGCATCAGTCCTATCCTCAGTTAGATAAATCTTTCCTAGTTCAGTCTAATTCATCCATAATTGGGGGAAGAAAGTCTCACTGTAATTAATGGGCCTAGTTCATAAAGCAGAGTTTTCTCTTTAAGGTATGAAGGAGTGGAGCTTATTTTTTACATCTACTTAACATGGAAGTTAAGGTACTAATGTACTTAACTGATATGCAGAAAAGTGCATCAATATGCTCACATTTTGATATACAACCGTACTACAGGAAAAAAATTCTAGGCGAAGAACACTTAAAATTCCCTTTTGGGGGAATTCTGGGATTGTGCAGTTTGCTCAAATCCACACAGGCTGGCTTTTCTCCCAGGAGGCACAGTAGGGATTTGAATTACTAATGCTAAAACCACTGAGCTATGCAGCCAGCTAACGGAAAGCTAGAGAATTTAATAAAACTCCTTTTTACTGTATGTAAGTTGATCATGTCTTATTATATAAATGTCTTTGTTCCTCTTGATCAAATTATAATAAATGTGTTTTAAAGAGGCTCCTAGGTGTCTGGGATGGCTTCCGTGTTGCAGGGGAGGGTGGAAGCAGAAATAAACAATTTGTGCTTAACACTAACGGTGCTAAAATATTTCCCTTTCTTTGGTTTAGTTTTGTTCACTGGAATAGCAAAACCAACAAACTGTCAAAATGGGGCGAAGATCAACATCTTCCACCAAGAGTGGGAAGTTCATGAATCCCACAGACCAAGCTCGTGAGTGTCTAGAATCTTTTTTTGTTAGGTTGGTTTTGGGTTTAAGGTTGATAATATGTTTGGATAAATGTGCTATATAATTTTAAGAGTTGAAGTCAATTAGTCTGTATTCTTATGGACAAAATCTGTTGCCTTAATTTTTCATTAGCATAACTTGGATTGGGTGCCAGAAGCATTGAATTTAAGCTATGGAAAGTTTACTGTCTCTTCCCCCCCCCTTGGGGTGGTTGAGGGGAGTTTTTAATACTGTAGTAAAAAATTGTCACTGGATTGCTGCCAGCAGTCAGCGAATCTGGCAGCAATTTTGTACTAGTAAAGGCTTCCGCTCTCAGTTCCTGAGGCTCACAAAGGCTTCTCTATGTCAAAAGGGAGCCCAAAGGGCCCTCAGAACTTGAAAGAAGGCTATAGGAAACTTTCTATGAGGAGAAATTAAATATTTCCAGTGCTTGATTTGAGTTACGCTGACAAAAAATATGCAACAGGGTTTTGCCCAGTATGTTACAAGTGTAGTGTTAGCTAGTGTTTGTTGCAGCATATAGAAATAGCAACAATATGGAAATAATGAAGGTAGTAGAGTATTTTATATTATGTAGTTATATATTGTTTTAGGCAAAGGCACTATGTTGATGGTGTATAGTTACACTGATATTACTTTATAACATTTAATGCACAACAGCAAGTTGTAGAACAAACTATGACTTTGTAGTCAAGTATCTCGCTGCTTATGGCTTCTCAAGAGTTAAATCTAAATGCTCTTTAATTCAGCATTAAATTGCTTCAAATTAATTGTGTTTACAAAGAAACAAATTGGTTTTACATGATTTTGTTTTCTCTAAAGACAGTTTTAGGAAAACATGGGATAACTGTCTAGGTCTTGTCAGGTACTACTATTAGTACTTCCAGGCAGCATAGAGTTAGATTTTATGGATTAAGATTTTCTAATTGAGCAGATGTTGTAATCTTAATTTGTATAATAGTCTAGCATAATTATGAACTATGTAAGGATGAATGGTGAAATTAGACATTCCTATGGAAATTTGCTTGTCTATGGTTCACTGTGATGTTCTGCACTAAACTTCAGAATATAAAATAAGAAATAAAGGCAGATACGAGTACATAGGTGGTTCTGAGATGGAAAAATCAGAAATATAGCAGTAAAAATTGCTGGAAAATGTGGTATGTGTTCTATGTTATGTTCTTGATCTGAAGACTTGTGTTTAAAATAAACAGTTTATTCAGAGCACGTGAAAACTGAAAATAATTCTTATCAATATAATCATTTTTTCAAGGAAAGCTATAATGAGTTTTATATTGTCATTAATTTTTTTAGTAAAGCATAAGGATGCACACTTGCTTTTCTAATACAGTATTGTGATGTAAAATTCAAACGCAATATGGTGTATTCTTGGACAGTTTATAAAGGTTATGTACCAGATTTGCAAACAGACACTTGCCAGAATCCCATTATTGTTTGTATAAGTTTGGCAATACTTGCCACAAATTGTGCCCAACTGATTAGGTGTTTGAAGTGGATCTTGTTTGCATGTCTGGTCACTTGCCCATTTATACAACTGGGGCTTGCCCTAGCACGTTGTTAACTGCAGATAGCTGAAACAAGCTATGTGAACCTTAGGCGAATACCAGTAGGATTCCTGCCACTATTGAGTTTGTGTTTGTGGCTTAATCTGAAAATAGAACTCTTGTGATAATTGCTTGGCTGCTTTGTTTGGTACTGGTGCCATTCTGATGAATAGGATCAGTCAAAACAGTTTGTTTTACAGCTTTCTGGGCTAGCAGTGCAACATGTTTCATTTCACACACAGCCTTTATTTGGCTTGTTTAGTAAATTATAAATTATAGAGAAGGATAGAAGTTTATTTTTTCTTCTGAATGAATATGATCTGATCCTGGTTGTGTTTCTTCTGAAATCAGATGTAAAAGTATAAATCTGGTGTTATTTTTTATTTGAAGTAAGTTCCACTGAGATCCTTGAGTCTCACTTCCTAGTTAGCATGGTTGAATTGTTGCCCCAAATTTGCAAGTTCTGGCTTTGAAATTGGTAAGCTTTTTCAGATTGTTTCTATCTTTGTAGGCAAGGAGGCTCGAAAGAGAGAGCTGAAAAAGGTAAGAGATTATTGCTTTGCTAAAAGAGTGAACAACCTGGCAACTGTGTACTCCTGTCTGTTATATTCTTAACATAAACAGGGTGGGGTAATGTAATACTTGCATTCCTTGCTGTCAGCTGATGAGCCTTTTCCTACCTAAAACTGTTGTCTTGACCAAGTATTTCATTAAGTTTAAAAAATTGTACCCTGGGTTAGGATTGTGGGGCCATTGATTTTTTTGTAAATATGCATATTTGTTCAATGGGCAACTATCTTGTTCTCACCTGTTAGCCTAAGTAACTGTACATTGACCAAAAGAGCAGGAAAAAGAAAAACATGTATCATAAGAAGCACATAGCTGATTAAATCTGACTTTAAAACCCTTTTGAGTTGCTAGTTTAGAAAATATGAGACTCAAAATACTAAATATTTTTGAGATTATTGTATATGTTGCCAGCATAATCTGAGATCTTCATTCTGGCCTTTATTTTTTGGTGATTATAGAACAAGAAGCAGCGTATGATGGTGCGAGCAGCAGTGCTAAAGATGAAGGATCCCAAACAAATAATTCGAGACATGGAAAAACTTGATGAAATGGGTGGGTTCAAATATTATCTCTTTGAAGCTTGAAAAAAAATCAAATATGACAAAACAGATCTCTAGTAGCTTTAATAAGTGGGCTCAGATAACGTGGGGAGAAGGGGAGGACTGAGGATTGTGTATAGAAAATTGACCAGTTATGATTAGGAGGCAGTTCTGCCTTTTGTTTTTAAATGACTTATATGCTGTCCTTTCATAATGTTTTTGGATGGATTTAAAAAAGGAAAGATTCCCCCAGTAATATCATAAAAATTATTCATAAAACAGCAATTAGAGCAGCATTTAAAACAGTGTAAATTAGGATAAGGAAATTTGATACTTAGGTGTTTTGGACTTCAACTCTCTGAAACTCACCAGTATGGCAAATGGCAAGAGATGGGAGTGATAAAACATCTGGATGGCAAAGGTTCTTTATCCTCACTTTGAAGATCTTAGCCTGGTATCATTGTAGGAGCCAGTCTGGAAAAAGAGTTCTACAGAGGGGGTGCCATACTAGGAGAAGCCCTCCCTTACCCAATTGTTATGTTCTTTATCTCAGATAGTTGTGGATGGAGAACATGGAGGAGGGCCTCCAAATATTATTTTACCTCACAGGCTGACTGATGCATCAACAATTTCTGTGGGTACTTTGGTGTCAAACCAATAGATTGGGGTGTCAAAATAAGTGCAAGCACATTTAGTTTGTTCAGAAATGAAGTGGAAACCAATAAAGCTGTTTGAGCATTAAGACAATCTTCTCCCAACATGGGTCCCACTTAGTATCCTTGCAACTGTATTATGACCCAAGTGCAGCTGCCAAGCTCTTGAGGTGGAAGGCTGCCTAATGGAGAGGGGTATTTGGAAACCCTTGTTGGAAGAAGCCTGGCATTGATGGCATTCATTCTTACTTTTCTTTATATCCTAGCTTCATTATAGCAGAACGCTGAAGGCATTCGTTCCCATATTTATTCCTGATTTTATGTGTAGGTACATTTATCTTGAATTTGATACGATGAGAAGCAGGGAAGGCAAAAGCTTATCCCAGATTTATGTGTAAATCTTTTCTTCTTCCCCACGGTTGCTCCAACTCTGCTAATGCTGGAACAGAGTTTAACCCAGTACAACAGCCACAACTCAATGAGAAGGTGCTCAAGGACAAGCGTAAAAAACTACGTGAGACTTTTGAGCGTATCTTACGGTTGTATGAGAAAGAGAATCCAGACATTTACAAGGAGTTGCGCAAACTTGAAGTGGAATATGAACAGAAGAGATCACAACTCAGCCAGTACTTTGATGCTGTGAAGGTATTTGCCCCTATCATTTCTTTGCTTCTCAGTGTGTACAGACACTGCAAGGCTGGTTCTTTGGTGGCTACAGCATTTATGTCCTTCATAACAGTGTACACAAACAGTGATGTAGCATTTGAAGTTCATTTGCATAAATGCAGCTTGGTGCTGTAGGCTGGCTGTTCTTAAATTGCTTCTTGTGAGCTCTGGTGACTTGAACTAAACAAAAATCCCCCACCTCTTTCCCATTCTTGAGAGTGCGTTTGTTTAAATTGAAATGACCAGTACAGTTTCATTCACATAATTTGCCATGGGACGTTCTTCTGCCTGGTTCTGTAATGGGTACCTTCCATGCTACTTATAAGTACATCTTTAGCTTTAGTAGACACTTAATGTTAGGTGATTGGCTAAGTTCTTAATATAATTGTTCATATAATGACTGGCACAATTCAGGTAGAGGTAAGAGTCAATGGCAGGTTATCTCTCTAGCTTCTGTGAAGGGCAAGAAGAAACTTATTATCAAATAGTCATTGTGGTTGATTATTAATCATGATATGCATTTATTTACCACACATTGACATGTTTCTGCAAAACCGCTGAAGATGATTTGCATTTTTTAGTAATGAGGTGACTCCAAGCAGTCCTCCTTAGAGTAGAGCTTTTGAACTAAGCGGAACTTGTCAGTCACAAGTTGCTTAAATCCCATTGATTTCAATGGATCTTTTCTATGGAGGAGTAACATTTAACTTAAGAAGCATCATTCAAAACGAAAGCATGTAAAGCTTTCATGACATTTTATAATAAGAATGCAGCAACTTCCTTCAGGAGATTGTTATGGGAGGAGGGAATCCATCTAGCCAAACTGCTAGCTATCTTTTTCTCTTTCCGACGCAGCCAGTGTAGAACTTATCAAATAGCACACTAGTGCTCAAAGTCTCTCATATCGGGCAATCCTGTAGCAAACATTTACACTGACTGGCGATCTGATGGTGATTTTTAACAGTCAAAACCTCCATCCTCCCACATCCTGTGGTTTCCAAAATCTTCCCAGGGGAAAAAAGGGAGCCCCAGATCCTGAAAGGAGGACAGGAATTTATCCATTAGTTAAGATATTTCCAGTGTGTGATCTGGGTTAAACTGGCATAAATTTATGCAAACAAGGTTTTACCCATCATCTCATAAAATAGTCTAGGATTATTCTTGTCTTTCAGCCTTGGTGAGAATCTTGTGAGCAATAAATAAGGCAGAGCTGGGCGGTAGTGTTTTTTTTAAACTGCCGTGTTGGCTTTTAAGCATGAATACTTTTAAAAATCAATCTATCTTGTCAAATTGAATGATAGACACTTTTGTTAATGACAGTCTTCTCGCCTCACTGAGTTTCTGCTGCAGTTACTTCCCAAAGGAAAAATTGGTTTTTGTTTAAACCCTTTGGTAATTGTTGAAATCAGTGCTGTATCTGTACAAAGAGGCTTTTATAAATGTGCTTCCATTTATTGTTTGTTTATGTATTTATTTTGGGGTTGTTGCTGTTGCCACTTTCTGGGTTCATCTGGCCCAGATTAATAGCGATACAGTATCTGAAGCAATTTGGCAATTCACGAATTCCTCTTAGTATGTTATCCATGAATTAAGCATTGCTGTCTCCTGAGGTAACCTAAGGAGCGTTCTAATTTCTTGCAGAATGCTCAGCATGTTGAAGTGGAGAGTATCCCTTTGCCAGATATGCCCCATGCTCCTTCCAACATCCTCATTCAGGACATCCCTCTGCCTGGAGCCCAGCCCCCCTCTATTCTCAAAAAGACATCTGCATATGGGTAAGAAGGACGAATGTTACAGAGACCAGGGCCCCCTAAGCATTTTGTTGTGCTTAGGTTACACTTACAGACTTGGTTTAGTAGTTTCTTGTGCTTTAAGAAATATTTTAGCTATATATTGCAATTTATCTATTAGCTGAATTGTTTTGTACAGTGGAATGATAGTTCTCAAACTGCAGATCAGAGCCCCTCCATCCCTGGTACTCTTCAGCTGTATTGGATTACATTTCCTATCTTCCCCAGGCAGCATAGTCACTCAGTCTCCATGCAGGGTGGGAATGGAGGGGACATAGGACAGCACATTGGGACAGTGTCAGATTGGTGAATGTCATTGTGAGTTAAAGACTGTGACATCCTTCAGGCTGCACGTTTGTGCATAAAGTATGAACTTGGCTGACGATGAGCTCTGGGGCAGAGGCAGAGATGTTAGAAACACATAAATTGAGTAGAACTTTTGTTCAGCTTCTTGTTCTTGTTGTGAATCCTGCTGTTGTTTCTGTTGCCACTAGAGAGAAAGACCCAGAGTGGCTCACTTAAGACTTATTGTCACTGGACATGAAATAAGCAGCCAGAAACTGGGGCAGAAACTAAGCCAGTGCTCTGTTAGCATCCAGCTCTTGGTGGCTGCTTTGCAATGAAACTGAGTCTAGAGAACTCTGTACAAACTCTGGAGTTCCTTTTTCAAACAGTTTTGGACATAAATACATTGTCTACTAGAAGACCGTTTAGTATGGGAGAATTTGGAGATCCTTGGCTGTAGCTGGGCTGCAACTCTTCCCCTAGGCAGCTTGGTATATTTCCGGCTACATAGCTTAGTTCACATCCAACTATTTAGGGATAAATTTAATCTCTAGCTATTTGCAACAAACAAAACAGCAGTTGAAAACACTTAACTGAAGAAGAAGAGAATGGAATACAGTGGTGTCTCGCATAACGAGCGCACCGTTTAATGATGAATAGGGAAAACATCGCATTGCAATGATCGGTAAGCGTTTCGCTTACCGATCTTCGATTTGCGATGTTTTGGAACAGCTGATCTGCAGTTCCAAAATGGCTGCCGGAAGAAGAAAATGGCTGCCCGCAGCGTTTTTGCACCGATTCCTTGCTTACCAAGGTGGTGAAAATGGTGGCCCTATGGAGGATTCCCGCTTAGTGGTGAGTTTATCCCCCATAGGAACGCATTAAACAGAGTTTAATGCGTTCCTGTGGGGTTTTTTGCCCCGTATAGCGATGTTTCCGGATAGCAACGATTTATCTGGAATGGATTATCGTCGCTATGTGGGGCACCACTGTATTGCATAATAAGATGAGTTGTTGTTCTTACGTGCTGTCAAATCACTTCCAACGTAAAGCAACCCTAAAAGGGTTTTCAAGGCATGTGAGATATTCAAGGAGGGGTTTCCCATTGCTACTTTCTCCTCCATGACTTTCCATAGAAATTAGAACCAAGGTTTCTTGAGTCTTAATCTAGTGCTCTGTCCACCTTGGCTCTTGGCTGGATGAGTTGGATAGGTAAAAAGGCAATGAGAGGAGACCCTCCAGCTTGTAATATGGAGAATGGTTGAAGAGAGCAGGCTAGACTAAAATGAGCTCTGGGATTAGCCAGTCAAGACTAGGAGTCTGAGGCAGGCCTGATTAGAAGCTAATTGATGTGTACAAGAAAATTAAGGCAGAGAAACCTGAGACAACTCAGAATAACTCTCTTCCTCCCCAGCCAGGAGTGAGGGATGAGGGACATTGCAATTCTGCAACACATGAAGGGCATATATTTTTCATCCCTGCTGGGAAGTGGGAAGTGACTTTGTGGCAGTGCCTTACTGGTTTTATAAATTTAATTCCTAGAAGGCCCTTTCCTGTTCTTTGTAAAGTGTGGTTTGAATTCTAATTCTGTGAAGTGTTTATGAAGAACTTCCTTTATTGTTGCTTTGACTCGACTATTTAATTGGTTTGAATTATCTCTTTAAATTTAATTGTAAATGTTTTGCATTCTTACTCATGGAAGTATTTTATCAGCACACGTCTGTTCATTTATTAATGTTTGATACAGTTTTAATTCACTAAATTTTAAGGATGGGAATTGGAGGCTTGTTTGATTGGTTTTTCATTGCTAAAATCCTTATCTTATTGGTTGCATTTACATATACTGTATGTGTATACTTTGATATGAGTTGGTATGCTCCTCTATCCCTCTTCTTTTTCCATACAAGTATGATATCAGGGCATTCCTTCCATTTTCAATAAACTGCTGTTTCTTGGGTCAGAACTCAGGCAGACTTTGGTTAGTGTTAATGTTACTGAGCTTTGTTTAATGATTTGTGCTTGCTTTAGCTAATCTGTAAATACTAATTACAATTCATGAGTTAAGAAATAACAACAAATTACAGTTAATTGGAAACAAAAGCAAATACTTCTGATTTCCCCGTAGCCGAATTGGAGGAGGGGAATTGTGAAAACTCAGGCAACACTGGTCCATTAAGTTAAACCTTCATTAAACTTTATGCTCTGTTGTAGCATGAGTTGTAAGAAGGTATAGAGAAGTTCTGACTAAAAGTTTTTAAAATCCATAACCTTTTATTTTTTCAAAATCCTATTCCAGACCTCCTATCCGGCCTGTTTCTGTACTTCCACCTCCTGGACATGGTGTTCCTCGCTTACCTCCAGGCAGAAAGCCTCCTGGACCTCCACCAGGTCCACCTCCACCTCAGGTCTTGCAAATGTATGGTCGTAAAGTAGGATTCAGCCTAGATATGGCCCCTCGGAGAAGAGAAGAAGAAATGTCTTATAGTCCAGAGACAGGTAAATAGTTTTCCTCTTCCCCTAAGTATTCTCTTATAGCAGTGGTCCTCAATCTTTTTCGACCCACAGACCAATGGGGGGGCAGGGTGTACTTCTGGGTGGTGATGGTGAGGCAGGGGGCGGGAGAGCTGTCTCTACAGCTCGGTCCTGCCAAGGCCATGGACTAGCACCATGCTGCGGACCAGAGGTTGGGGACCCCTGTCTTATAGAATAGGAAAAGGGAAGCTTCCTGACAAGTTTGTGGGGGATTGTCTAGAGACTTAAGAGGTGGAATTAGAGAAGTAATTTCAGTTTTGAAGACCAGTGTTTTAAGGAGAGAGAAACTCAAAATACATTGCAAAGCAGAACTGGGGAGGTGGTGGTTGTCTAGATGATTTTAGACTGCAACTCTCACAAATCCTAGCCAGCATAACCAGTGTAAGAAATGAAGGAAGTTGCATTCCAAGAACATTAGGAAAGTTACAAATTTGGTGCCTGTGTTTTAAAGAAGCTGATTATTTTCTTCTCCAAATAATGGTTTAAAGATAATGAAAAGGAGGTCAAAGAATATCTTTGTTTGGGACATTGTAGAAGCATATGATATATTTAGTTTGTTTGTACGTAACTCTTGTTACATACTCAAAATGTTACTTGCTCCTTTGAAATGGAATATCCCGGCAGTCTTGTGTTTGTGTGGAAAAGATACTAATTTTTGGATCCAGCTGCTGTGGCATTGCATTTGCTGAATGAATAGCATCAATGTTGAATAAGGTTTACTTTCTCTATAAATTTGAGACCAACTTTTCATAAAAATCTGATGAGCTGTATTGTTTGTAAAGAAATTGCTCCACAGATGTAGCACTGGGTTTACCGAAGAAAGCAACCAATTAGGAGACAAAAGAGAAAAATTCTGCATCTGCCATTTGGTACTTCTAGAGTCACTACAGTACTCACTGATATTTCATAACTGTTCTTCTTGGCTTCCTTTACTTGCCTGGCTAATGGGGTCACTGTCATGTAAAGTAGTAGACCTGAAACACTGATGGCTTTCATTTCCCCCTCTTGCACTGGAAGATCTTTAGCTTTGGTTCTCAAAACAAGTTGAGCATACTGCATGTTACATAGATCTTTCATAGTGGTTTCATGTTTGAACTTTTAAGGTCCACGGGGACATGACGAAGAAGCTTCTAGTACTAGTGAAGATGAGGGGTACCCTGAGGATATGGATCAGGACAAGCATGATGATTCAACTGATGACAGTGAAAGTGACCGAAGTGATGCAGACAGTGAAGGAGAGGAGTTCACGCACCACGAGGACAATGCCGAGAGAGAGGCGGGTGAAGACAAGAAATCAGGTAAATTATGCTTGGACACAAGCAGAACTAGTGAATTGCTACAGAAATACACTGAACAAAAGGTAACAAATAATCATGAAAAAAGACTTGGCTTGTTTGCAATTAGCTATATGCCATGTAGTTAACGGACGATACATTGAATTTAGATGTGATAACTGGCACAGACTGTGAGGTAAATTGCAGTGTAGTCACACCCACAGTTATAACTATAGCACAAATATTTGTTGTCGTTTAGTTGTGTCCAACTCTTCGTGATCCCATGGGCCAGAACATGCCAGGCCCTTCTGTCTTCCACTGCCTCCCGGAGTTGGGTCAAATTCATGTTGGTAGCTTTGATGACACTGTCCAGCCATCTCGTCCTCTGACGTCCTGTTCTCCTCTTGCCTTCGCACTTGCCCAACACCAGGGTCTTTTCCAGGGAAATTGCTCATGAGATAGCCAAAGTAATGGAACCTCAGCTTCAGGATCTGTCCTTCCAGTGAGCTCTCAGGGTTGATTTCCTTCAGAACGGATAGGTTTTATCTCCTTGCAGTCCAGAGGACTCTCAAGAGTCTCCTCCAGCACCATAACTCAAAAGCATCAATTCTTTGGCGGCCAGACTTCTTTATGGTCCAGCTCTCACTTCCATATATCACTACAGGAAAAACCATAGCTTTGACTATGCGGACTTTTGTTGGCAAGGTGATGTCCCTGCTTTTTAAAATGCTGTCTAGGTTTGTCATAGCACTAATATAACTTGCAACAATAGAACTGTTCCTGCAGATCAACAACAACAACAACAAAAAACCTAAATTACCTACCTGAGTTATACTTTAGGGGGAAACTTGTGTAAAGGTAGAAGTCTTAATGTCAGTAGTTCCAGAGGCCTGAAGATTGCTCATATCCTCCTGGACTTGAGAAGGGCTTCAGTCCACCCCATTTTTAACTGTTATTTCTTTTTCAGCTGCTAAGAGAAAGCCCTCATTGGTTCCTCTGAGTGAGGGATTTCAAATGGTAACGTGTATTGCTCTCTTGGCATCTGTCTTAAAAGAGCAGTGCAGTGAATCTGCACTTCTCAGTGTTCTTTTCCCCCTCATTTTTTCTCTACTCTGGATCTGAAATCAGTGGTGCTGCAGCCACACTAAGAATTTTGATGATTTTGCAGCAGGAAGGGCAAGGAAAGTTTATTTCTGAGGTGAAGGACTTAACTTTCTTTCTCCTTTGTCACCATCTCAACATACTCCTGAATTATTGTTTCCCGACTTCTGGTACCTGGATTCCTCACTTCATGATGCCTGAATTCCAGATTTACATAGAGAATCCATGTGTGTACCAGTCTGCCCAGTTAATACTTCTGGATTCCTTGCTGTGCTGCATGGTTACTTCAAAATGTACAAATACCCCTGATGTGCTTTGCTTTTACACACTCGTTGAAAGGCAGTGCACATCCCTGTTAAAAACAATGGGCATTGTCTGAGCAGTTGCGTATGGCCATGAGCTGCACTTAGTATATCCCATCTTAAAGAAGGCATCCAGACATTTCTTTGATGTTATTTGGAAGAGCACAGAAGGCATGGGCTGCACAGCCAAACTCCGCTAGGTGACTCAGGATCTTATGGGACCATCAAAAGCAATCTATCTGAGGACTGCAATAATAGAACCACAGCCTGTGTAAGCCCTAAGTAGCCTGTCTTCAGGGGATTTTGGGCTTTATACCGTATGTTAATCGCAAAATCTTAACTCTAGTCCCATAGTTCACTGGCAGTCTGTGCAGTTCTTTTAGGGTAGGCTTTCCAGGCTTCTGGCCTTAGCCCCAAACTCTTAACCAGTCCGTCGTGTTGCCTCTCTCTTTTCTGATTGTCTTATGAAGTAGTAGTGAACAATGTAGCTGAAAATGTTTTGCTTCTTTGTAAAATTCATATTTAACATTGCAAGTGGATAGCTATTACCTTTAGGAGTTACAAAATATGATTGCCTACCTCTTAGGGCAGTGATGGCGAACCTATGGCACGCATGCCGCAGTTGGCATGCAAAGCCCTTTCTGCTGGCACGTGAGCTGTAAGTCGCTGGATCACTACTCTTTCCCCCCTCCATAGCCAAACCTCAGGAGGTGGCTGCAGCCGCGGTGCTGGCGCTTCGTCAGGCGGTGGCCCAGGATCCGGAGCAGCTAGCACTGGTGGCAGATCCTGAGTGGGGCCTCGAGGCTACCTCCATGTCCGGGATTCTGCCGCTACTTCCAGTTCCGCCGTGGTCCACCACCTGCGGGATTTTTTTTCCTTTTTCCAGTTTGGGCATTCAGGCCCAAAAAGGTTCACCACCACTATCTTAGGGTATTATAGTTAAAACGTTCTGAATGTTATGGTATATGCTGGTAAACTTGTAACCTTTTGTCACATGTTTCTGCAGGTCATAGTGTACGGTTTGCTGACATTCCTGGAAAACCACGAAAGAAGAAAAAGAACATGAAAGATCTCACTCCACTTCAGGCCATGATGTTGCGGATGGCTGGTAAAGTAGCCTTGATTTTTCTCAGCCGTTTTTCCTATTCAACATCTTCTGTCTCTCCTATTTTTAGATGCAAGATAGAAAAAACACCTGACAAAGATATCCTTAAAAAAGCTTTTTAACTGAGGATCTGGTATTTGTAAATAGATGTGATACCTGAAGGACTGCCTCCTTCCATATGAACCTACACAGCAGTTAAGATCTAGCTAGGGGGCCCTTTTGAAAGAGCCATCCCTCAAGGATGTAAGAGGGATGGCTTGTAGACAAAGGGCCTTTTTGGCATCTGCCCCAGACTATGGAATGCCCTCCTGACTGAGATTCGTCTGGTGCTGATGCCGTTTCAGTGGCAGGTCAAAACCTTCCTGTTCCAGAAGGTTTTTAATTGAAATAATATCAACTGTGGGTCCTGATGGCAGTTTTTAGAGTATATATTTTAATTGCATTTTAATTGTATTTTAATTGCTTTATCTTTTTTATTGTATTTTAATTGTTGTAAGCTGCCCAGAGACCTTTGGGTAGAGTGGGCGGCATATTAGATGAATGAATGAATGAATGAATGAATAAATGAATGAATGAATGAATGAATGAATGATGTGACCATTTGCTTATCCATTTCTGTTAAAAGTAGCAATTCATAACTGGTAACTTGGATGTTGTAGTCATTGAACTCCAAATGTTTGAACTAAAAAACTTTGTTGCTAAATCAGTATGAAAATGAAAAGCAACCTTGGATGAAAGGATGTGCTCATGTTCTTCTCAGCCTGATTATGTGGATTCTGGTGTGAACATTTTTTCAGAGATTCTATGGATTGACTGAAGCTACAAGCTGCCACTGCTTGTAGAATAACAGTGTTCAGGATCTTTTCAGTAGACCATTTATTATGTAAAGATAGAGCCTCTCTGTTGTTCCTCTGTTTGTGGAATACTTGAGGCAGATGTAGTCAGCTTTTCAAAGATTAATCATGAACCTTTGTTCTGATTTTTTTTTTATATTGTTAAAATGGCAGGTGCATTAATATCCAGACCTTTATTTTTTATTTCATTTTTAAACTGTTTAGGATTAGTCACATCTGACATGAATTGTATCCTAGATTTTCATATTTCTTAAGCAGCTGTTTTGAGACAGTAACCTCTTTTTTGTGTTATGTAAAGATATTGTTGGAGCCCTTACTTAGAAGAGGCTTCTAATGAAATGAAATTTGTGGCAGTTCCAAAAGCATTAATGCATGGTCATCAGCTGTGTCCAGCTGTGCACACTCCAGTTTTTAAATATGTAGCCTTTGTTGTCTCTTTGTAATTATCTGGGCAGCTTTTATGTCCGGATTTTAGCCCAGCCCATTTTTATAAAGCACAACTCCTCCCAAATGGAAGGCCTACAAAAATGTTATTTCTGGACAAATGTAGTTGAATTAATCATGAAAAGTAGTAATTTTGGTTTGACTTTGATAATGGTTAATATTGATACTGAATACTAGAGCCCGATACAGCATCTTGAAGAGTAGCAAACTTAGGATAACACATACTTTTATGGGAAAGACAAGACTTTGTCGAAAGTATGCTAGTTGCTGTAGTCATTTAGCGCCACCCTCTCCCCCTAATATTTTGGAGTTTTGTTGGTGATGAATAAGTAATGGTGGGCTCTTGTCTTAAAAATTTGTTAAAGAACATGTCTTCAGAACTGATGTATGCAACTTTAGTTCCTCCGTGTTAAAATCAGCTTCTTTATTATCTGATTCCTAGACTTACAGAAATGTTCTATATATGCTGAATAATAGAGTTGTTGGAACTTTCTTGTCCATGGCAATATGATAGTAGTTTGTGTGTGAGGATTTTGGTAGGTTTCCTCTACTCGTTCACAAGACTAAGCCAAACTAAATGTAACATTAATTGCTTGGATACAATTAATATGGGGTGATGTTACATAATAGCTGTGTGGGTAACCTTTCCCTGTTGCCCATAGAAACTTTCTTTGAAATGCAAAGAACACTTTTGGTGGTGGTGAGGTATTAATGCCCCACACCCAGAGTCAGTGAGCCTTAGACTGCTCAGGTATCCTCTTGGCTACTATTAATGTAACAAAAACAATGTTATATATCATTTTGGCCCTGAGCACAGTTATTTATCAAATTTTGAAAACTTTTATTGTCTAAAACACATGTTCATAGTTTGTATCACTTTTCTATGAGGCAGATAAAACATCTTAAGCAGGGGTGGCAAAACATCAACTTCAGATAGCATGGTCAGGGTCGTAGAAATTCTACTTGAGTGCCATAGGTTCTCTC